GGGCACCTGGGTGGCTTTGTTGGTTAAGCTTCAGTCTCTTGATTCTGGCTCAGGTCATGATCTTATGGTTGTAGGATCGAGCCCCACGTTGGGCTCTGCTGAGCATGGAATCCGCTTAAGATTCTCTCCCTCTTCTTCTGCCCCTCCCCTCCTTGCACATACACATGCTCTCTCATATGCACTCTCTCAAAACAAATGATTAAAAAAAAAAAAAACAATATGCTATCTGAGGTTAACAATAAAAAGCCTTTCAAAGATAGCCAGAGTGCAAAATTGGTACTTTTCTTTTTTTCTTTGTTTTCCTGAAAGAGTTAAAGCAATTTCTGGAGCTTTTTATGTTTTAGGCTAAAAAGAAATGTCCATAAATATTCCATTTAGGCTCCAACTGTTTCTTAGAGGATTTTAATATTTTTATGTCAGTTGTGAAATGTTACTAGCTTTGGAGCAATTTTATCCACTTTTCAACAGTGATATATTCCTGCCCAACACTTTTATTTTTTAAGTTTATTTATTTTGAGAGAGAGAGAATGTGTGTGCATGTGTGCAGGGGAGGGGGAGAGAGAGAGTGAGAGAGAGAGAGAGAGAGAGAGAGAGAGAGAGAGAATCCCAAGCAGGCTCCATGCTGTCAGCACAGAGCCCAATGCAAGGCTCAAACCCAAGAACCATGAGATCGTGACCTGACCCGAAATCAAGCATCAAATGCCCCGCCGACTGAGCCACTCAGGCATCCCTAACCCTTATTTTAGTGTTTTAGAACACCTGGACCCAATATTAGAGCTAGCCATTTAAAACAAAAATTAGACTTGGCTGTTTCTGCAACCTGTGACATCAGGGTTTCGGTTCTGTTATATACAGGTGATAAAAAAAATGTATGTAGCTCACTCTTCCAGTCCTGTGATGAAATACACTGGTAATAGAGTGTGTTAAATTCCAATGTGCATCCAGATGATTTGGATTTTTTTTTTTTTATTGTTGTATTTTTTGTTTCTTTGTTTTGGTCTTAATCATGTCTCAGTAACTACTGCCCTTCCTCAGCTCACAGGCAGTGCTGGGCTTATGGCCTTGTCCTCAGTAGGGGCTCTAACGTAGTGTCCGACTCTGGGCAGGGCCCCTCATGCTTGCCTGGGGAATCCCTGCTGTTCAATGTGTTCATTTGGATTGGGTCTGAGTGTCACAGATCACAGTATGCCAAAGCAGACGTCTACGCTTACCAAACATGACACGTGAGGTCAGCTTTAATCAGAGATCATTTGCACATACAATTCTACAGGGAGGCCAGTCATCATTGAAGGAGAAAGTTGTTCAGGAGATCTGTGATTCCATGATTTATTGCTACCAGATGTATGCGTGTGGAGCTGTACCAGCTAACTTTTGCGAATGAGGTTGCCTATTCTTTTCTGAAGAACAAATTCTCTTCTTCATTTGCTTCCTTGGGGAATATTATTCCTGCCCCCACCCCACCCCCTGCAACTTAATTCTATCATTTCCCTCTGCCTCTTCCTGTCTCGGATTTTAATCTATTCATGCCCTCTCCTCCCCCCTCAGTAAGATTACGTTGGCAATTATTTTCTCTCTTTCTTTCTTTCTTTCTTTACTTTAAATACTTAACTCTCTCCCCATGTTTATCCAAAGATGTTTCTTCTTCCTCGCTCCCATATTTCTGAATATTCTCAACAGAAACTTCCCGAGAGAAATAAAATTGTAACAGTTCATCTTTTACATAAGGGATTCTCTGCTGTGACAGGGACACACACACTCTCTTCAAGAGCTCCCCCCCCCCATTTCAATTTTTTAGTTGTATCGGAAAATACAATAATTTAGGCAGGCATAGGAGCATTCACAATAAATCATAGAGTTATGAATAAATCTTGGTTGTCAAAAGCAAATGTGTAGCCGTTCCAAAGCGTCTGCCATTAGAATTCAGCAAGGCAGCTGTCAGCTGTTTTCTTGTAATTAAACAGCCAATGAACAGCTAATTAAGACATATGTGTATACAGAAGTGGAAGTGGGTATGTTAATGAACTGTAGGAATCAATTCATTAAGTGAAAATTGTCAAAAGACCAAACATCGGATCAGCATTTCAGCCTATGCCTTACTGAGAAGGAGCCCCAAACAGGAGGGGAGCCCCCTCAGAGCAAGATCCTCTGAGCACCTTTCCAACCACACCCATCGTCCTCCGTCCAGCCAACCCTCACCTTTGGGCAAAACTATTAATAACCCCCATAGGCAATGCCATGTTTATTAAGTAGATCCAGCAAATGAAAATGTTTTCCTACCCATATGTAAACCTGGTATTCAGTACCCTGCGAAATGTCACCTCCCTCTTCTGTGTCTAAACCATTATACGGAGCTTTGAGTACAGAACTGAAAAGTGGGCCTTTTGTGTTTATTTGTTTGGTTTTGTTGTTTATCTGCTTTTGTTTGATCTGCCCCATGTGTTTGCCTCAATGCTTTTTTGGTACTGTATTAAGAAGTCTACGGCATTTAGAATAAGATGCACCCAGGATTCAGCCCTTCCCCTTACCTGCTGTGCAACTTTGGACACATGGCTTAGCCTCTGTGCACTCTAATTTTCTCATTGTAAAACAGATACAGCAATACCCACTTTGCAAGGTTGATGTGAATTGCAGACCCATAATGTTTGCAAAGTGTCCTACATAGTGCCTGGTATTGAATAGGTGTTCAGCATATGATTGTCACCACAGGTTTTAATCAGTACCATCTTTTTTTCCCTCTGGTCATTCATTCAACAAGTATTTGTTGACTTGAAGTACTGGGTTAATTACTGGAAAGAAACAAAGCAGTCAGTGAGGGAGACCTGGCTCTGAGCGTATACATGGGAGGGGCCCCTCAACCAGTCTTGGAAGGGGCAAAGTCAGAGAAAGTGATTATCTCAGTGAATTCTTTTTTTTTTTTTTTAATTTTTTTTTTCAACGTTTATTTTATTTTTGGGACAGAGAGAGACAGAGCATGAACAGGGGAGGGGCAGAGAGAGAGGGAGACACAGAATCGGAAACAGGCTCCAGGCTCTGAGCCATCAGCCCAGAGCCCGACGCAGGGCTCGAACTCACAGACCGCAAGATCGTGACCTGGCTGAAGTCGGACGCTTAACCGACTGCGCCACCCAGGCGCCCCTCAGTGAATTCTTAAGAGAAGGGGAGAGGGGCACATGGGTCGCTCGGTCGGTTGAGCGTCCAACTTCGGCTCGGGTCGTGATCTCGCGGTTTGTGAGTTTGAGCCCCGCATCGGGCTCTGTGCTGACAGCTCAGAGCCTGGAGCCTGCTTCGGATTCTGCGTCTCCTCTCTCTCTGCCCCTCCCCTGCTCATGCTCTGTCTCTCTCTGTCTCAAAAATAAGTAAAACATTAAAAAATAATAACAATTAAAAAAAAGAGAAGGGGAGAGCTTCTAGGAAATGGGGGTGAAATTGGGGGGTTGTGGGGGTGGCTGTCCTATGAAGAACTGTGAACACAGCAGTTTAGGCTTGGCCAGAGTATGACTTTGAGAAGAGGAGTGAATGCAGGAGAGAGTTGCCTGGATAGGTGGTTGTGGCCTGGTCATTAGTAGAGGGCTATTCAGGGGCTAATAAGCAGAGAAGTGGCCTGATCAGGTTTATGTTTTAGAAGAGATCTCCAGTGACCGTATGAAAATGGATTGGAGAGAGTGTGAATGGAAGCAGGAAGTCCATTTGGGAGGCTGTATAATAACCAGTTCAGGAGATTACAGATATGGAGCATTGAGAAAATTGCAGTAAAGATGGAGAGAAGTAGATGGGTTTGAGAAATATGAAAGTGGCAAGAAACAGCCTAATACGGTGACTGCTTGGGTGGGGGAGGGGAGGAGGCAGAGATGCAATGAAGCTTATCGCTCTGCCTTAAGTAACTGGGATGAAGTTGGTCCCTTGGCTGAGCAAGCAAACACCGAAGGAGACAAAGCTAGGAAACAGGCGGTGGGTTGGGATATGTTCTCTTCTGGAATGAAGACAAAACCATTCAGCTGAAGTTTCTAGAGAGTGTGTGTGTGTTACAGGGTTGGGGGTGATAGGGCTATAGAAGGCCAAGCCACAGCTTTGGCGAAAGGCCCATCCTAAGTAGGGAAGATTCATTCAGATAGTGTGATGGGAATCTGGGGAAGGACTGGGCTCAGTCCAGTCACTTGCTGGTCAGTTTTTAACAGCTGACTCATTGGAAAACAGTGTCTGTCTGTATATACCAAACTTCAGTGTATGTTTCATGGATATGTGACACAATTTACAAGTAGTAAAATCTACAATATTCTTCATTATAAACGTATAGACAAATGGTTGTCACTAAATGTCCCCAGTGATCTTTGCTGAATTCCTCCATCCATAGGTACAGTTGCAGTTGATGACAGACTGTAGTGCCAACATGAATGTTGATACTTTCATTTACATTAGTGAATAAGAGGAAAATGAAATAAGGAAAACGTGTTTTGGAACTTCACTCATTCATCAGTGATGACATGAGCAACCTCTTTCCAGAATCAGATAATAGTTTTTAAATACTAGAATACTTCCTCACATTTGTTGTGCTATTCACAATGTGGTGGGTATAGACATTGCGTACTTTTCTTAATTTTTTATTTTTTTTAAATGTTTATTTTTGAGAGAGAGAGAAGGAAACAGAGTGTGAGTGGGGAAGGGGCAGAGAGAGAGAGAGAGACACAGAATCTGAAGCAGGCTCCAGGCTCTGAGGTGTCAGCACAGAGCCTGACGTAGGGCTCGAACTCATAGACCAGTGGATCATGACCTGAGCGGAAGTCAGATGCTTAACTGACTGAGCCACCCAGGTGCCCCAGAGACATTACATATTTTAACTTTAACCCACATTATTGTTTTCTTGATCACTTTTTTTTATTTTTATTTTTTTTTTACATTTATTTATTTTTGAGAGACAGAGAGAGACAGAACGTGAGCAGGGGAGGGGCAGAGAGAGAGAGGGCGACACAGAATCCAAAGCAGGCTCAAGGCTCTGAGCTGTCAGCACAGAGCCCGATGCAGGGCTCGAACCCACGAATCGTGAGATCATGATCTGGGCCGAAGTCGGACCCTTAACCAACTGAGCCACCCGGGTGCCCCTTCTTGATCACTTTTTAAATCTAGACAATAGGCAGAACAATAAATCAAGCCCTGATTTGTAGCTTTTGCCAGTTTCCATGGTATAAATACTCCCAGCTCATGGTCAGTTTGAGGACTCCCAACCTGACATCCCATTGAAGACAGAGCAGGGAAGATTCACTCACAGTAGCACACCATGTGTAGCAGCCACACCATCTGGATATAATTGATGTAAATAACCTCAAGAGCATGGATAATAGCAAAATAATAATAAAATAATGAGTTAATTTTTAATAATGGCTATGTTTAACAATTGGTTCACAGAATTCCTGAAATTTTAACACTCTGCTCTTGCAACCTGCTGTGAGGCTTCTCCCATACATCATGGCCTCAGTCCCAGTCCTGGGGAACTCCAAACTAGTAGGACTGGTGAACAATTTCGTAGCGTAAAGTCAAAAGTTAGGCAAGAGAATTTCCCAGAGGATGGAAGCAGAAATGGAAAATAAAACTCAATGAAAGGCACTTTGAAAGACTAGGTAAAATCAGGAAGGAGACACTGGAGAGTTGTCTTTGAGGCTGTTGAAATTGATACAAACAGTTGGTGTGTATGAGGAAATCAAGACTGTGTGGCATCACTTTTGTTAGCCCGACACTTGAGGGAGAGATACTTAAGTGAGACGGTACCACGCTTAAAATTAGGACAGTGGTGTTTGAGTCTTAGTAGTAATACTTAATCAGGCATGGGACAACCTTAAACCAGTCATTAACCATTCTGAGCTTCATTTTTGTTATCTACAAAATAAGAAAACTAGAGTAGATCTTAACAAGGGAAAGGCAGTGGGGTCTTCAGGAGCCTTTGTTAAAATATTTATCATGTAAAAGTGATATCTTTTGGGGTTTTTTACCTACAAAAATGGCACTTTCATATTGTTCAAACTATATATGTGTTCAGGACTATATCCCCAAAGGTTCTGGTTCAATAAATTTCAGGTGTACTTTTTAAACGCTTCATGGGTGATTCAGATGCACCATCTGTTTGAGAACTACTGAACCTGATAATCTCACAGCTTCCTTCCAGTTCTAAAGACCTGTTTGTATTACTCTCATTTACTATTTGCAGTAACCGCACGTTGGTATGCTGCCACTAGGTGGTGATCGTGTGCCACAGTCACAACAAGTTCTGCTACCCTGAAGTTCTCTCTGGTCAAGTCCACCATGTTCACAATGGCACATCTCCATGTATTTTGACATCCATAAAAATTGTCTTCTTTTAAAAAAACCAAAGAAGTAATTCATGAGCTCATCTTTTGGCAATACAACTCCAAAATTATGAACTTAATATCTTTTCTAGCTAACGCATAGCTTCAGCACTTTCTCTCTTCTTTATACATACCTCTTCAGTTCCACCCAAAGCTCCATGCGCTGGCTTGTGCTATTTACACTCTCTGTGTGGCCTCAAACTCCCCCAACTCCTAGAACTTGTGTCACAGCTCACTCATTTCTCACTCGGACCCTCTACAGGATTACTCCCCAGTCAGTAAAATCCTTTTACATTTATGAACGTATTTCTACCTCTACCTTTCTTCCTCGTCCTTCTCCCTCTTCCAGTCCTCCTCCTCTGAGAAACCCCAAGGAATGCTGAAATGAAGGGAGAGCGAGAGAGAGAGAGAATGAATGAATGAGTGAATGAAAGAAAAGAAAAAAGAAAAGAGAAGAAAAGAAAAGGGAGGGGAGAAGAAGAAAGAAAGAAGGAAGGAAGGAAACAAGACCAAGTCCTAATTCTCTCTGAAATGCAGAGTTCAGTGTTTATCTGAGTCATACAGGCTTGCCCTCTGTCTCTCTTCATGGCTCTCACCTTATAACCCTACTTGACCCATCCCATCTGGTATGTGATAGCTCTCCTCGTGGGCATGACTCTGTTGTCTTAGTCCAAAAGGAGCATCTCTTCTCTGGCTCTTACCCACTCCTAGAACTTTCAGCAGACACTTGCTCAACTGACCCAATGAAGAATAAATGGTGAGAAGAGCATGGTATGTCTGTTTGCTCGCCTGCTTTTCCCAATCCCTTCAAAGCTGACACATCTAAGGAAGTATAGTTGTTTTCCAAGCTGATAGCTTGGAAGCCAGACATTAGTTCCAGCCTCAGTGCCATTGCTCAAAGCACATGTGGAATGCTTCATGGATTTTCCTTGCGATTTATGGCATAATTACTCAGACATCTTTAATAGTACATGTCTTTAATGATTCAGTGTCCTTGAAGTAAGTTTGCTGTTATTTGTTGTTTTGTTTTCCAACTAAGCCGAAGTAATGTAGACCTAAATAAGGTGAATAAAAGGAGACGTGATCCTCTGGTCAGAAATGAGGGGAAATTATGAGATCATGGGACTGGTTTTCTCATCTGACTCTAACCCACATCAGGAGGTGACTGTGGAAGAGAAATCTGTAAAATGCCTGGGCAGTGCCCTTTTGTCTGCTAAAGGGGCTAACCTGAAGGAAACAGCAATTTCAGAGTAGATCAGTCTTGCTGCTTTATTCATATCTGTTTCTTTGCCTAAGTTAATGGTTGCCCTCTATGAGAACAAGCAAGTGGGAATCCTTTTGACATGCAAGGGAAGCAGAAAACTAAAAAAGAATGAAAGTGTGAGTTCTGGAATTAAGCCACATGCATTCATCCCCTGCCTTTACCCCATGCTCAAGGTGGAGCTCTGAGCAAGTCATTGTACCTAAAACCAAGGAATTGATGATGCCTTCCTCATACTGCCCTTGTTATAATTAAATGATGTCATCCACGTAAAGCACAGGGTGCCTAGCACATAATCACTGTTTCAACAATACCTTCGGTTTGTTTTAATCAGGTAGGTAAGACACACAGATGCAAAAATGTCATGAAGGATGAAGATTTTATACTCACAGGTCCCTAGGAAAAAGAGGTGCGGCATGGCATGCAGGGGGGACCACAGTGGGAAGGACCAGGATCAGTCAGGGGTAGAGGGAGCAAGGGGAAAATGTGGGCAAGAGCCTTGTTGTGATTTTCCCTAGAAAGGAATGGGCAGGGCAGGATAAGCAGGTTTAAGATTGGCTAGTTTTCATAATTTTAGCCAGCTCTGGCTGCCCTAGTTGTCTGGTACCTGGTCCTGGGGTAATTTGGTCAGGGCACTAGTGGCCCAGAGTGTGAGAGCATTATAGAGGAGGTGTTTGGGTATACGGGCTCCGGATTGGTTGGTTTGCCTATGAAGAGTGTGTTCCCAGGCAAGTTGTTTGAGATGTCTAAGAATTAGCTAGCCCTGGGAAATGTAATCTCTCCTTGGGTCACAAGGCCCCAAGATGTCAAAGCATAAAAAGTATGGAATAAAAACATATGGTTAATACAAGTACTCATTAAAGTTTTTCAGTCATCATCATCATCATCATCATCACCATCACCATCCTCTCTCAGTGTTCTCTGGTAGCAGAGCAAATTGATGGCTTCTATGCAAGCATTCTGGAACTTACTAGTGATGGTTGATACTAATTTGAATTTAGTAAGTGCAAACTTAAAAGTGGCATCCTTTTTTGTTAATGACCCGAACGTTATTCGAGAGCTGTATCTAGTTCTGAATTTCATATTTTTGAAGAAAGTGGAGAAACCTGAGAGGATTCTGAGAAGAAATACTTCAGGTGGAAGAGAAAGGTGACAGATGCTGTGATTTGGTTTACAGACACGGCATTGGGAAGTAGGGTGGCCATCCACAAGTACTGCTTCCATTCACATAAAAAGGAGATCACTCAGACATTTCTCTGTATTCGATGATCATGGAACAAAATGGAGCAGGTTAACTGTGAAGCAACAAAATTCAGCTTCGACTGCAGGAAAAGCAAGTGATTCCTGATCCTAGGCACCTGTGGTGACAGCGAACGTGGGTTGGTCTGAGCGGTAGTAGTCTCAAGAAAGAAATAGACACCTTTCAGCTTTGACAGAGATTATGCATCTCAGACAAATTGAATACCTAGCCAGGTGACCTCTCGGTATCTCTTTCTAAGGCTTATCTGCCTCTGTTACCATTTATATTTTCCTGAATTCTCTCCATTAAGTCCCAAAGAAAGCTTTACTTCTTCTCACTTCCTTTTCACAGAACACACACACACACACACACACACACACACACACACAACCAATGAAAAAGCCCACAGCTTTTTTTGAGAAAAGAGAGATTGCTTCACAGAAGAGGCCAGACTCAAAATAAGGGAGATTTAAAGCATATCAGACAGACAGTCTGAGACCCGGGATCCCCAGCCTTGCCCATGTTTAGGTTAGTGAGTGGTTTGGCAGAGAGCCAAGAGCAGGTGACAGGTCAGTGCCCTTCCTCCTCCCATCCCAGGTTGACTTCCAAAACGAAGAAGTGGGAACTAAGGTCATATCCATCATACCTATTGACTTAATCCATAGTCACCCACCTGTCACAAAAGAAAGCAGATGTACTAGATTGCACTTCCCAAGTAGTTCATATACATTTCCACCTACATATTGTAGAAAATTCAGAAAGTGCAGATAAACAGAAAGATGTTTATTTTTATCATCTTTTTGAGTCAGTATTTGTATTTCTGAAATTCCATTTTTTTACATTAAGTTTTCATATTTTTTTTAATTTTTTTTTATTTACATATGAAATTTATTGTCAAATTGGTTTCCATACAACACCCAGTGCTCATCCCAAAAGGTGCCCTCCTCAATACCCATCACCCACCCTCTCCTCCCTCCCACCCCCCATCAACCCTCAGTTTGCTCTCAGTTCTCAACAGTCTCTTATGCTTTGGCTGAAATTCCATTTTTAATGGTTTCTGAATGTATGGATATCCAGTTATTTTCCAATTCACTAATGTAAGATATTTAGCATCTTTCTAAATTATTTTGATATAACAGATACTGTGTATGATAAACATCCTTGTAGATAAGTCTTTGTACCATTCTTAATATTCCTTTAAAATATATTCGTTAAAAGATAATTACTGGGGTGCCTGGGTGGCTCAGTCGGTTAAGCGGCCGACTTCAGCTCAGGTCATGATCTCGCGGTCTGTGAGTTCGAGCCCCGCGTCGGGCTCTGTGCTGACAGCTCAGAGCCTGGAGCCTGTTTCAGATTCTGTGTCTCCCTCTCTCTGATCCTCCCCTGTTCATGCTCTGTCTCTCCCTGTCTCAAAAATAAATAAAACATTTAAAAATTTTTTAAAATATATTCGCTAAAAGATAATTACTAATTTAATAAATAGACATGTTTTTAAGGATTTTGATACAACTGCCAAATTGACCTCCAGAAAAATCTTTTGATGGGATAGTACCTTTGTCAGTTTGTCCACTACTCTGTCAGTTTTTCCGGATTTTACCTCTCCCCTCTCCACTTGTGTCCCCTTTATTGAGGTCATGTATCTTTAACATTAAGGATTTGAGGATAATAATGCTCTTTTGTACCCTTCATGGCTCTACATCATAGAAATGACTCTGGTTACCTTCCTTTTCTTCACTACCTCCCTAGCTTGTGAAACCACTAAGAGATAAGTCAACAAGAAAAAGACAACCAACGGCCCCATATGTTTAGAAATCAAGAAATATGCTTCTAAATATTATATTAAAGAAGAAATCTATTGGAAAATTAGAGCATGTTTTCAAGTGAATGGTAATGAAAAATGCTACATAGCAAAACTTGTGGGTTACTTCTAAAACATAACAAAGGGGCGCCTGGGTGGCTCAGTCGGTTAAGCGTCCGACTTCAGCTCAGGTCACGATCTCACGGTCCGTGAGTTCGAGCCCCGCATCAGGCTCTGGGCTGATGGCTCAGAGCCTGGAGCCTGCTTCCGATTCTGTGTCTCCCTCTCTCTCTGCCCCTCCCCCATTCATGCTCTGTCTCTCTCTGTCTCAAAAATAAATAAACAAAAAAAATTTTAAAATTAAAAAAAAATAAATAAAAGATAACAAAAAGGAAAATGTGCAGCTTTAGGAAAATGATAAACACTGAAAATTAATGACATAGTGAGGATCCAGCTCAAAAAATTAGCAAAAATGAGTGAATGAATGAATGAAATCCTTGAGATCAGTACTTCCTTTGGCATCTTTTTTTTTATATAATTTTTTTTTAACATTTTATTTATTTTTGAGACAGAGAGAGACGGAGCATGAACGGGGGAGGGGCAGAGAGAGAGGGAGACACAGAATCGGAAGCAGGCTCCAGGCTCTGAGCCATCAGTCCAGAGCCCGACGCGGGGCTCGAACTCACAGACAGCGAGATCATGACCTGAGCTGAAGTCGGACGCTTAACCGACTGAGCCACCCAGGCGCCCCTCTTTGGCGTCTTTGAATACCCTCTCATTTCCGAAAATGGTGCTTAACAAATAAGTGGAACTTGATGAACATCAGATTGGATTTGCTAAATTAAGGCCATAACCCTGAACACGTGGTATTTCCAAACTGTCAGAGGTTGAGGAGTATTCCCATTCTGATTGATCTACCAAGGTCATCCATCCAAATGTCATTTAAGTTCTTGGGGCAGTAGCTTCTGTCTTAGGAAATGCAAGATGCCTGGTGTGGTGGAGTTAAGTGGGCTAGTAGAGATGACCCGCGGTAGCAGGATTACAGCCACCATGAGTTACACTGAGGCAGCATTTTCCTTATCTCTGGACATCCCAGAGAAGTGTTTTGTGTTTATTCCACTAAAAATATTTTGGAGATAAAGGTTAAAGATAAGTGACTTTGTACCGATCCATCAAGAACATGGTTTGTTTGTCAGAAGCTGACAACAGGGTCTAATCCTATGCCTTTCAAATAGGCAACCATCTGTTGGAGTTAAAGAAAGTTTCGCATGTGTAAGGGACGGAGGATTAAGCTCTGGGGATCACTTTTACCCAAGCAAAAGAAGTGACTTTAATTTCATTAATGGTCTCCTGGATCATTCTGCTACAACTTTAATTCTCCATTAAACATTAATGCTGCTCAGCACTTAGTATACTGCCTTTAGTATCATACGGCTCAAACTGACACTAACCTGTTTTATATTTTATAACTGAATCACAGGGCTTTTTCAGGAGAAGTCAGCAAAGCAATGCCACCTACTCCTGTCCTCGTCAGAAGAACTGTTTGATTGATCGAACCAGTAGAAACCGCTGCCAACACTGTCGATTGCAGAAATGCCTTGCCGTAGGGATGTCTCGAGACGGTGAGCCCTCATAATTTGAGTTGTAGAATGGCATGGGCTTGTGAGAGTGCCTTCTGAGACCTGGACCCAGATCTGCCAAAAGATGTCCCCTCTGTCCCTCTCCCTCCCCTACACCACCCACCTTCTCCGGTGGCTTTTTGGGTTCCACAACAGTTACTTCCCCCTCTGTAATCCATTGGAGTCGGCTGGGGGTGGGAGTGGCATGGAAGAGAAGCAGGTGTGGCCAGAACACCTTCAGATTTTTTACATTTAAGACATTACAGGTTGATGAATTGATTGAGGGTAAATGTCATCTGAGGACCTAAATAAATATACCTCTTATAGGCACTTTCCCCAGTAAGAAATATAAGCCAGAGCTAATCATCACGTGCTTGACACTAGTAAGCTTATTGGCAGTTGGAATGCATTAGCTTTTATGTTAACTGGGTGTTTTGAATCACATACCAACGTCATATATTTGAGTTAAAAAAATTTTTTATTACTTTTTTTTAATTCCAGTGTAGTTAACATCCAGTGCTAGGTTAGTTTCAGGTGTACAATATAGTGATTCAACATTTCCATACAACACCTCGTGTTCATCATGACAAGTGCACTCCTGAATACTCATTGTCTATTTAACCTGTCCGTCTTCCCTCCTACCCTCCAATAGGCTTTAAGAGTACCTCCAGTTAAAGTTATTATTTCTTTTTTCAACCAGAACATTTTTTACTAAGAGCATACTTTAGGATACATGGTTCTAAGAGATAAATGTAAAACATTCCATCCATGAAAAATAGAATACACATTTTCTTTACATTTTTCAAGAATCCCCTGGATAAGTCACATAAAAAGAGACATAACAAATATTATAAATTTAAGAAGACTGAAATTATACCAAGTATATTTTCCAACCACAATGGTACAAAACTAAAGATCAATAATAAAACAAAGCCGGAGAATCTACTATGTAAATATTCAGTATTTAATATATAAATATTAAACACCACACTACTGCACAAGCAGTGGGCCAAATAAGAAATCAAACAGCAAATCAAAATATATTCAAAACAAAAGAAAAAGTCATATATTTGTACCTAGAGAATGTGTGAAAATAGTACAAAGCATGGCTCAATGACAGTTTTTTTTTCCTTAAAATTTAAGAAAGTATGTTAAAAAATAGAGGCCATCATTCAATTGTAAAACATTTCAAGATCTTTCTGTAAAACTGTCTTATGTACATGGAGTAATCAACCCCAGATTTCAAGACAGTTATTCTTAAACGGGGAAACTGGGCACAAAGTATAATGGATACTTTTATGAATATACAGGCTGGCTGGCTCTCTTAAGAGATCCCTTGAAGGAAACATCTCTTTCAGTGGAATTTCAGCGTGTGGAAAATATTTCAGAACGCTGGGCAGGCATTCTGAAAGCCTGTCTTTCCCCCTAATTAGATGTTCTTGGGGCCCATAGGCCTATCCAGGCACAAGTTGTGATGTCCTTCAGTAGTGGTGCACAGGATGGCACCTGTGTAGCAACAAAAATGTGTGGGAACAGAAAATAGAAAGTTTGGGGCATGAAAAGACGCAAGTCACAGAATTTATATTCTCAGAAATTCCAGTGATTGGCAGCTCTGCAGATCTCATCTTCCGATGGCACTAAACCGACAAAGTTAGGCATTTCTCTTGTGAACTTGTAGGCTAAGATCACAAGTTGTGTGCGTACCTATGGTTATCCGTCCCACTGGGTATTCTAATATGTTGGGGCTTATACAATGACAGGCCTGAAACCTAGAGCTCAGAACAGCTTGATCGATGCCTAACCAGCCCCACCCAAGTTTGTTACCTGAGTCGCGAAAACTGGAAATTGACCGGGATCCCACTCCCTTGTTTCCTATGTGAAAAGGAACAACATGTCTTTCTTGGCAGAAAATGAATCTCCCAGCTGGTCTGGGTGG